CTGCTCACATAATGTGTATCCATAGAAAACTATATAGTATGTTGTCAGTGTTTATTGGATTCAAATCAATGAATGACGTTCGACTGTATTTGATGATGATCGCGTTGGTGCAATATTTTGTTCAGTTGAACAATCACAAATCTCATACAGTAAATTGTGTTGAATGCTATAATTCCCACCCATACATTATGTATCATGTATGCCTTTCCAACACTCGAATTTTAGGATATTATTCAAAATCATCGACAAAACATTATAAGTAAACTGGGGGTTAGTGAAGACTGTAGTGATGTTAATAGTTGAAATCATGAATTGATTTAAGCCAAACCACCAATTAAGACCTGGAGGCACTGAATGGTCTTTTTGCTCTAGTATGGGACTCCTAAACAGTGCGAATCCACGACACTTAACACGGGGCTTGAACCTGGGACCTTAAGTCTCGCGCGCGGAAGTTCAACCTCCAGAACACCTGGCCGGTATTTAACAGTGTTGGTGTCTAAATTCAATCAGCTCAAGGCATTACGCGACTGTCCACCACTGTCTTCAGTGAGTAACAGCTTCATAACAGACGCGGTTGTACTCCATTGGCCGCGGCTTCTCACTAGAATTCCCGGGAATCCATCTTGAAGCCACTCATAATTGACGCCAGTTATTAGTGAGAACATGGCAACTATCAGTATGGAGTTGTGAAGATTGTTGAGTTTAAATTGATGTCACAAATGGAGGAGTCCTATACTGGGACGAAATGGCCATCCAGTGCCTCTAGGTCTCCAATGGTGGTCTTATTTATCGGGCTGTAACTCACAAGGTCAGTCTGGCTTCACTTAAAGGTCGTCCAAAAATTATGGTCTCACCTGAAATTGTCCATCACTTTCTTAGAGAAGGTTATTTAAGTAGGGATTCATGAACCATACAGTGTATTACATACACATTTTTGTTTTACATGGTTCATGTCAAAATATTTCAGTCAGTAGTTATTTATCGAAATTTCCATAACCGAGTTTATTCATGTTTGAAGTGTTTTACGTTTGTATTGCTGTGAAAAAATCACCTACGCAACTATCTATGCTCGGATGTTTTATTTTTCAGGAATATTGTCCAAAGTGAGAGAAAACCTCGTGGAACAACATTCTTCTAGTTGTTGTCGAGAGAGAAACTCATTTATTAGATTTGATTAATGAACACTGTTTGGAGGTATATGTATTTTGAACTCTCATTGGTAGCTTACCTTAACTTAACATAAAATCAGTATGTATAACTTAATTATGTTAAAACATGTATTGCTTGATCAATCTATCATATTTCGTTGTTTATTTTGATGGTTCTTTTTATGGTAAATTCAATGAGTGTTAAATGTTACTACTATAATTAGTGTAGGTATGTTCAAAATTTTAACTTTTGTCATTGTGGGTTGTTGTTTACGAAAATGAGAGGACGAAAGCGAATGTCTGGCGCTTTAACCGGATTCCAAACCAATGGTGCACATGGGCACCAGTATCCTGCGGGAACAAATGGCGTATGAACCAATTGTTGGTCACTGGCTTCCATGAGACTGCATCTCCTTACGATGCTCCACTGCCTTGTGTATCAGACCTTCAAGTCGAAGGCTCGGGGTGTGGCCCCCTAAGAAAACCACCTGCTTCGGTTTGGGCACCCGGACAATATCACAGCCCTCACACATATCGAATGAGATTTGTGAGGCGCATATTTTATTTGGTGCCTCCTTGTGCCAATATCTATGCCTGCATTGTGGGTTATTTTCAGATTTAGTTTTGTAACGTAGACGATCCATTCTTGCTTAACACATATATTCAGCAAACATGTTTGAAATGTATTTAGTTGTCACTGTCTATAATCTGTCATCAATCACAGGTTTCTTCCATTGGTCCAACTGCAGCTTCTAATGTTTTCGTTCTATTACACTCCAAGTGGATTTTCATGTATTCACACCAAATTGTTTCAGAGAAAAGTCTTCAGTTTATATATTTTCACTATCCTGTATTACACACACTGTCTATCTAATGTAAGAATAAGATATTTGTGGAGTTCACTTGATTTGTAGTTCAAGTAACTAACAGACATTGGATGAGGATCGTATAAAAATCAACTCTCCAGAGTTCATTTATTCTGAATAGTTACCTAAATAGCTCATTAAAGAGTTCATCTGATTCCGTTTGAAAATCAACGGTTTCTACTTGACTGAATAAGTAATAATTCACACATAATGAGTTTATTTGTACTGAATTATTATTTTTGGAAAGTATGACAAATATTATAATAAGATATTAAGAAATTAACAAGTTTAGCCGATTTCCATAAAAATTTCAGTAGGAAGTCTCCACCATGCAATTTACCGATGATAGACAGAAACGACCGGAAAAGCATTTCAAAAAATAAGTTCAGACTTCAATTTTTATTGAATGCGTCTTTCGACGAGGTACTAGTCGCTGAGTGTAAACAAAATGGTACTTAGCCTACTGACTGATTTTCATGTGATTTATTTCCTTTCATTGAACTCCACTACGGACCCACTGAGAGTGACTTCTTATTACTATTTTGAACAATGTAGTCTCTAGTGTTAACCTGGTTCTCTAATCTGAGTCGTGAATCCTGGATCTGATGTAACATGACTAGACGTATCATCGTAGTATGCCTAAGCGTGTGAGCGAGAGAGAAAGAAATGTTTAAACCATCCGTTGTATCAGTTTCTTTTCGTCTATTTTCATTCAGATAAAGTTTCGTTTTGTTGACTGTTCCAAAACAGTGCATGTTTGTACAATAAATCATTATACAATGAATTTTTGCGCAACTGTGAAACACTGTCCGCAGAACGTGTATTTATGCACAATAATAAAGCAAAGTCATATGAGCGATGATCGCGTATCGTTGAAGCAAATGAAACAGCCACATTTGTGATAAGCCTAATGATATTTGTTGGTGTTTACTACTGAACCAACCTACATAATAGTTGTCATAACAAATACAATGCATAATTCACATATATTGAGAGCACCAATATTTGAAATTAGGAAAATGATATGAGCAGAGAAAAAATGGAAGCTATATTCGAGGACTTAATTTCACTTAATACAAAGCTTGTAAAGCTAGGATTTAGTTTTTTCCACAGTTTATTCTACTAACCATAAGCGTTCGTTTGATGTATGCTTCACTGTGGTATCCCTTTTTGACCCATCGTTATTGTAGTTTAAATGTGATCTTTGGTATTCTATCTTTCCACAATAGTACCTAGTTTGGTCACAATTGTATTTTCTAAGTGTTTGTGCTTTATGATCGTGTTAGTCATCCATTTATTCATGTATCGTTTTGCACTAATCTGAATAAGAACCAAATCGGAGTGTGAATCGGAATGGGGAGTAAATCGGGTAGTGTTCCAGTTGACTCGTCTTCCCTCCCTCTCTCACTTTTTAACCGACCAGCCACTCTATCATGCCAAGGCCATTATCATGATTGAGACAAGTTACGCTCCGTATATTAGCGCATGGACAGATCAAAATTTAACGGAAAACAAACTTGCATTTTGTACACAATGTGTGTTTTAAATAAAAAAAGTGGTCATATGACACATGAGTTAATTTTAAAAGTTCTAAATGAGTATTCAAAATCCTTTATATTTGACATAGTTGATCAGCGGACAGTTGATGAATGTTGGATATTTCCTTTTCCGTATTCTTTTATCGTGGACAACTTTCCTGAAATTTATAAATTTGGAAAATTAAATATTCGACAATTTTTACATCTAAATGCATAAACATCAAATCATGAAACTTCCAATCATGGGTTTGACGAAGCTGACGCAGAGAAACTGGCGACCATAATAACGTGATGATGTTTGCAAAATTGGAACGAACACGAATATACTAAACTCACATTCATTTCCATAAATGTATTCCATGTGAATGTCTCAGTTTTCAGAAGTGAGGTCATAATCAATGGTTCAGCAGGCTACAAGAAATTGTGGAGCACTTCAACTTACTCAACAGACAGATATGCGATCTGATATCGGACACTTGAAATCATAGTTGGCGTAATGCAACCGCACTCTAGTTATATCTCATTAGAAGTCTTCTCATAGGCACACAATGTGTTCATCGGTCATGTCGATCTTAGCATTTCACTAAATGATAGGTGTCTTACGTGACAAGCACGTTACGAATGTTACAATTTCGACCAAATAATTAGATGATGAATTTAGAGTTGTTATCTGCATTATGGTAAATAGTCATTCTAATGTTAGCACTTCCACACGCTCAAACGACGTATAGCATTCCGAGATGTTGAGACTAAAGATGGGGACTGTAAATATCTGGAAAACAATAATTTTTAAACTGCGAACTATCGTTAATAGCGGAATTGTTGACGACAAATCTCAGGTGAGAAATTACATTTTGAATTAATTGAAGTCTACTTAATATTCTGAAGCATACAGAAGCTACATCACTAGAGGCAAATGAAAATAAATTCAGTCGGAAACATGCATATTTGATCAACAATCGCCTGACTAGATTGAACCTAGTAGACCAGTTCTATGAACCAGACAATAGTTGCAGTTTCATAACACTGAGTTGAGTCACTAGTGCTGGCCTTATCTCATCACACAAGATCAGTACTCGGGTAGAAGTATACAATTGATATGCATCTAATCGGAAGCCATACATTTGGCCGAGAGACTGAATCATTCACCTTCATTCGTCAGTTAATCAAAACATGCAATATCGTCCTTAGTCGCTCAAATATTTATTGTTTATTGTCGAATACATACATGAAAATTATTTGTGTCAAATATCTCTTCCGTGATGACATATGAACGAAGAGTAGACATGGAGATGTTATATTTTATCATTCGTTACATCATCATATTTATTCCTGGTTGATATGTCACCATGGAAAGCATAGTGTATATTTATCTGCGTCACCTGGCATTATATAACAAATGAGGGATATATATATGTATATGAATAATAAAACACATGGAAAACACTTCAACCAACATTGCAGACAGATTGACATGGAGGACAATGTATATCCGTGGAAAATTCAACATTTTGTACTTCCAACTTCAAATGAGCAGATCGATCGCCAGCGCGACATGGGAAACTCTTTCCATTTATAATCACTTGAAGATCAGCATTTTTCGAACATTTATACTAAAAAGATAATTCACAGAGAATTCAAGCTGTTATAAAGAGTGTTTATATGGAATACTCTTAATATATTGTACAACACACAACTGAAGAGTAGTGAACAATTGTTTTAAAAAATGCTGATAAACGTAAGTTTTTCATGATGGTCTCCTTGTTTGAACGAAGTCGACAATCGAAGCCTTCAGAAATACTCAACGTGATGATGATTTCATGAAACGTGCTAGTGTTGCTTGTTCGTAGATATTTCACATCCAATAGAGATAATGATGTCAAAAATGAGTTTAGTTCATGTATGTGTATATGTATTCAAATGACATTCTTGGCTTATTGTCTAGTTATGAATTGCGAACTAATCGTGCTAAAACAAGATTTGATTGTTTATGAATATCAAAGAATAGTCGTTTTCCGCTTGAATAAAATCGATGTTTACTTAATAATTCAGCATTAGTCGTATACTCTATCAAAATACAGCTATGTTTAAATAAAACTAGATTGAGAGTCAACTTCGTGGGAACTTACTTTATGACATGATGATGTTCTAGGATAAGCTTCATTTGTTGTTTTGTTTTTTCTCAAGATCTTTTCGTGATCAAAGCAGGTTGAATCTGGACCCATATCTTCTAGATATTCATTATTTATTAGATCTGTTGAAAAGATATAATTATTTATTTAAATCAGACCCAACATTTTTGAAGAAAAAGAGCATAGTTCGAAGTGTTGATTACGAATTTCATCTAGAACAAAATGATACTTTTATTCAGTGAATAATTTTGTTCTGTCGGTATAACTGTACCTAGAGTTACAATAAAATCCAACTTGAAACCTGAATCTAAAGTTTCTGGCTAATGATGTGTCAAAATTCAAACCAACACATGCTGTATGTATCGTCAAGGTTGACAAAAACAATATCGTAAACAGATTTGATTCATATCTTATTAAAATTATCATTGGTATATGACTGAATTGCAATGTCAATATTATTTCAATAGACAGTTCCTTCATCAATTCACATATACATAAACCCAATATTCTCGGCTACACACGTTCTAGTTGTTCAATTATGTTTATACATATATTTGAATGCGCACTGCTGAGGAGTCCCGAAATAGGAAGAAACGGCCGTCAAATGCTACCAGGTTTCCCATGGTGGTCTAGCTTCAACGGACTCATGATCTTAACCATTGAAATATATTTGTGTTCCTCATTATTTTGTTTGCGTTCCCCTAATATACTTACATATTATGCATAAAAGGATCCTAATACGAGTACTTTCTAGATTCTTCTCATATACAATACATGAAAGAAGTGGAAAAAACTGAAAACTGTACATGTATATACATGAATATAAAGATATTTTCCTAACTAAATTGAATGGTTTTATCAACAAACCTGATTTTAGGTTCAGATTGAATCTGCATGCTGATGTTCGACCATTGTATAGTTTAAACATCTGTGAAGAATTAAGCATAAATACGATAAACAATGTTTATAAACATATCAAATCATTGAAAAACATTCCAGTCTGAAAAAGTGAACCAGTTTTGCTAATGTACATTGACCATGTCCAACTAATGATTTTATTTGCAGTAATTTTTAGCGATAGTGACAGTATTATGCGTCGTACTTTGTTAAATACCAATATTGAATGACTCTTTATGTTGTCTTTCTGTATTACTACCTTTGTGAGAAATACCACGGTTGCAGACTGTGATTACAAACATTGTTAGTCTATTTCCCTCCATTTTGGAGACTATTCACATCCATTATAGAAGTTATCCGATATCATTAAAAACAAATGCCATAAACCAGAGATGTTCATAATGTGCATGTGCGAGTTTAAAAGAATAATGTAGTCCCAACCCATTTAAATCAAAGTCGTCCTGTTTAATTAGTTTAATACGTTCAGTAATGTACTGTTTGTACCTCAACGCCTCCTAAAAATATAAATATAACAAAAAAACAATGGATTGTAAATCTTAGAGTATCACGTATGTTTGTTATCGGATTTGTTCGAGGAACATCGATATGAAACAATATGATTGAACGAAACGTTTGCAAACCAATCTAACTTACTTCATAGACAGGACAGTAATCATATATATCGGGACCTGAATAATACGTTTGTTTATCACGAGGTACATTAAAAGAATTATCGGCATACTGAAAGTGTAACGGCAGCTCAGTTTCCGAATCAAACAGTGAACATCGACCTATTGCCCTGTCATAATTTATACATCTTTTTTCCCATGGAGTATCACAGAACGGCTGAATATCTTGTTTCCTGAAATTCAAAAGCGAAAATTAAAAAAATATTGATCTTCTTGAATTGTTTTAAGATCAAATAACATGTTTTGGTCACGTTCTATATTTTTTATTCAAATAGGGCTGGAAACCAATACCATGCGCTTCATGAGCCACCGTGTTTTCCATTTAGCAACTGAGTCTTGATAGCCATATGCTTGTACAATGGAGTGAAATTTAAATTCACTTGGTATAGTTTACTTGAACATTCCCATTGATTTTTAAGATTGCAATTTATCAGTCTCTTATTGGCATATGTGCATCTTGTGCGTATTGCCTCGATATAACTTTAACCCACGAGCATTCGAAGCAAAGATGAATATCAGCCATCAGTGGAACCCAGAGCTCGCGTTTCGTCTTATTTGGGACTCGTTAGCTGGATTCTACTGCTAGCCAATATCCACCTTTGTTTATAGTGATAGTTCTAACAATAATAAGATTATTTATCGTTTTGAGTCCATTTCATTCTATTGAGTTTGAAGAATGAAAACAATTGACCATAGTTTCATTTGATCATTTTATTAAAGTCATTATCCAATATATTTCCACCGATGATATAAATAAACATTCGTTTTCATTAAAAAACTTTAACCAAACTATGATTCTCATATTGGAGTCACACATCAGCAGATGTCGTTTTCTAAGGAATACTTTCTTGGAAATGGAAGATAGAAATGTAATAGAAATTAAAAACCATGTGACTTTCGTAAAGTGTTGTCATACTGGTCATACTGGCAACGAATTCAGGAAAACAATTTTTCACATTATCCATCATAACATATAAAAATGTTTCGAATACATATAAAAAATTAAGATTCATCTTACAACATCTTCCTTTTCTGAATAAATTCATAACAGCTCTTCATTACGAAATCACAACCTAATCCTTTTCCCCATTTGAAATCATCGGCCATGGAATAGTCGACATCATACATGCTTTAGTGGAGTAAAATATATTCAATAAAAATTAAGTTTATATATAATACTCTTTGAAAATTCTAACAGAAATTCTATGTCAAGTAATTTTTGAAGACTTTATAGGCAAAACTATTTGTTGTGGTCAGTTATCAACAATAACGAATAAACTTCGTATATAGTTTGTTTTGATAACGGTCACTAGATAACTCTTCAACGATGTATTAAACACATTTATACACAGTGGAATGAACCATCGAATCAATTAACGACTAATTGCCAGGCTAGCAGAATGAATATACGAGTAGGCAGTGAGCAATGCTCAACCATGCAAATTCTTACGAGTGCAAAAATGATTTGCAAAATGGTCCACCAATTGTCTCCAAATGACTCAGACTTCATTGTTCTTGCATTTTCATACAAGTTGCATCCCATTTCCATTCTTTACTGTTCTATCCTCTTGTCTCTCTGCTGCCAGACCTTCTGTTCACGACTAAGATCATATACTACTTATGTCAATATAAGTAGCACACGCCACAGCTTAACTACATTAAATGTGAACTAATTCAATTGCTCGTGAGCTGATATAAATTATTTTCGAAGTAATATCAGACATTTCAATTACGGAACAGTCACCTCGTCACCCTGCAACCTGGTTGGAGTTCCTTCATGCAAATCATCAGAGCTGACTGTATGACAGTTTACGTATAAAGTATTAGTGTTACAAAAATACAGTGTGATTCGATTTTAATTTTTTTATTTTATTTTATAGTAGTTTTGATGGATTTTTGTTCTCTGAGCTGGATGGTTTGGTTGTGGAGCTTTGATCTTTCTTCTGAACTGATGAAGTGATGAACTAATGAAAGCTCCACGAACAAACCATCCAGCTCAGAGAACAAAACTCCATCGAAATCATCCACTCAAGCTACAAATCTCCACTATCTCATTTTTATAGTAATTCATCTTTCATTTCTTTTTATCACTGAAATATATTTCAACAAGGGACCACGGTTATTATTATTGAAAACGACTTGGACTACTATTGTTATGGATTAACTTACCATGGTTGAATGTTTCCAACGAAAATGATTTAACATACTGTGACTTCACATATTCATGAAACATCTAAATTATAGGTCTGATAGATATTATTGTATTAGAAATTTGGAAATACGGAAGTAATTACGATCATATTGTATGTTCACTACTCGAGTTGTTTACTACTCACCAGACTACTACACTTATTACTCAACATAATAAATTCGTCTGATGAGTTTTGAAAGAGTAAGGATTTAACACATTTTATGTGAAACCAATGAGTTAATAGATATTACATAATCACCCTTGTTTATTATTTCAGTATGTACAACTTACTTTGTATCCTTAAAGTAAGCCAGAAGTATTCTGGAAACCAGGTTTGACTCTAGTCTATTAGGCGTCAAGATATCATTCTGAACATAAAATGAAACATAAATGTAAACACTGAAAATAAAACTTATCAAACGAAAAAAGTCTCTTTACGTTCATCTGTTCTATTCAACAGGTACAATCGTGAAGTAGTTTCATTCAACTAAAGATTTACAATTGAGATGTTTGTCACGATGTCATTTTATGTTAACATTATTTTATGTATGGATGTTCTGAATGTGAATTCCCAAACTAATCCCACAGATCCAACGCTTATTATGTTCATCATTAAATAGTCCCATATTCTATAACTGATATAGTTGACACTTCATTGTATATGAGAAGCTCGCTATGTTTTTGCTGTGTCTGTACTGAAACCGAAGTTTATCTGGTAGTAGTAGTCAATGGATTTCAGAGGTATACAAAAAGTAATAGATGACATATCACATTATGTGAAATATCTATGAAATCTCAGTCAAATAAAGTGAGCGTTAGACGCCAAAAAATAAGCGATAAAACTCATAAGGCTTTATTTCTGTTGGTCATTCGACTTTATACGTTTCCATTTCAGTAGTATACTTGGTCAAAGTTAGCCTCCAGATGAATCTCTTCAATTCAAACTTTACAGATATAACAGACGATAAAGGTTTTCTGGAAAACTGTCAATCATATTGTCGTATCGATTAACTTTATGATCATGTCTTGAGAGGAATATATCAATCGTAAAAGTTACAATGCATCCAATTAAACTAATAACCAGTTGTTCTTATATCTGTCCATCAAATGTTATCCATTTTCGAAGTAGTCTATTGTTCTCGAGGACTGAATGACATAACTTTGGGATATCGCAAGTGAATTCACAAATGACGAAGTTTCACTTCTTAAGTGTTTTACTTATTTCTTTGTGCAACTATTAGTGAATAATGAAATAATGAAGTCAATGTATGATGGAAATGAAAAACTTACACCCATCACTCTGTGACTTAAGTGGTTAGAATCTAACTGGATTCCTGGAATTTCATTGCAACCAAAATGCTTTTGTGCTTCAGACTTTCAATGGAAAACAAAAATAAAATAATATTAAATAATTTTATTGATGTCCAGTGGTAGACGACAATTATGACTAAGTTGAAATAAATTAGTTAGAATAATCTGAGTTATTATAAACAGCTGGGAGATTAATTCATTATTCAAGTTTCAGGGGTATGATCTGTTACATTTTAACTAGTTAGTGCACCAATGTTGGTAGAGTGAACCTCTAACTGAAATTGACATATTTGTGGCAGATTATCTTCGAGATATTTTCCAAGGCTTTGCTTCGCATATCAATCATCCTGATAACAATTACGAACTTAATCCAAACGATGTATAGACTTCAGATCAAAACACAAAGAGTTGACTACCGTTCATTATCGAATAACATAGTATAAATCACTAAGCCACAAGCACATAAACTGAATTTGAATAGGAATGCGAAAGTCACCAAACGAGCAAATACAGGGTTAGTGCATTAGTCAAGTAAAGTGATAAGATTAAAACACATACATACATGAAAGCAAATGATACATCGAGAGAATTAGGCAAGCGATATTTTAGCTGGATATCAAGCATACATGATCATGAAGACACGATAATAATAACAATAGAGTGACGATTCGCTACTGTCTAAATGACACTCTGTTAAACATGTTGATTGAAGGGCTTGACCATAACGTATGCATAAACTGTACTGACATTTAACGCAATATACAGATCCAAGTAGTGATTATTAAGTGATATGATGGCATTATGATTAATGCACTATACATTTATCAAAAGTGAACTAATTATGAAACTTACAATCATATTTGGTAATCTCATTATCGTTTTTTGTATATTGAAGACCCCTCTAGCTGATTTCCATTTTATGGTAATATTTTGAATAGGACTTGGACTTAAAAGAATGAACAGAAATGTTAATTTGTGTTCGTAAGTAAAGTATGAAATACAGCACCACAGTAACACTTATCCAAAGACACTTAATGGATATGGGAATAATTGTTCCATTGAAATCAGTTAAGGGATATCACTTTAAGAATATGATCACATGCTTTTTAAATGTAAATATGGTTCATGATTTATTTCACAAAAGTTAGTTTTATATCATCCGACATAAGAGATTAGATACTTAGAGACAAGTTAAGAAAGAAGGATGATTTGGCTTTAGACTTTTGGATTCTCTTAATACATCTGTAATACACTCTGAATCTGCCAGAACATTGAATAATATTGACAGTGAATTATCCAGTCCGATTAGTTGATGAATAGTGAATTAACTCTACCTTACCACCTGGTATATCCCGATGAGAATGATGAATTGTAACTGTTGGAACCTATTTGTAGACTACTACTATATGTATACATTTCTTGTATAATTGTTAAGTAACTAAACTGTTCCTCTTATTATAAGCTTTGTTTTGATCTATGAAATATTGTTATATCATTTATCATTCTTGAGTCATACCCAGTCTGTCAATTACTATCTCCCACATTTACACCTAAATATTGTACAACTGTTATTATCCATTTTATAGTGGAATGTGGTCTGTTAGGTCTGTATATAAACCCAATATATCTGAAATACATGTTTCCTATTGCAGAGGCTGAGATTGGTTTCCTGAACTTAACAGGAAAGATAAAGACTCTAGACTGCTTGCACTAATTAGTTTTGAAGTCATCTAGACACATGTTCAATGCCCTGGTACGGCCAAGAGTGGGGAGAGTCCGCTCTCTCTCTCTCAAAATGCTCTCACATGGCCACGCATATATAGCCTCTGCCTGGAAAGTCCTACTCACTGCCTTCTCGTGGCGGAGGAGTTGTTCACGAAATTGAGAGGACGAAAAACGAATTTCCGGCGCTTTAACCGGGTTGGTGGACATGGAGAGTCCACCTGAGGGAGTTGGAAAACCCTGATTCCAAACTAATGGGGCTCATGGGCTCCAGTATCCTGAAGGAACAAATAGCGTATGAAGCAATTGTTGATCACTGGCTACCATGATATTAACTAGTGGATCAGACCTTCAGGCCGAAGGCTTCGAGTGTCGCCCCCTAACAAAACCACCTGTTTCGGTTTGGGCATCCGAGCAGTATCATAGCCTTCACACATATCAAATGACATCTGTGAGGCGCATATGTCTTTGATGCCTCCTTGTACTAATATCTATGTGTCAACATAAATAAATAAATAATAAGTCATTAGTTTATTTAAGTTTTCCACTATTACAAATATTATTCTTTATATTACGTATGTAGAAATCATTAGGGTTGTCAGGTGTTATAATATGTGTAATTTTGTAATTCTTTTATAAATGTCTGGTAAATCCTAGGCATCAGTCTTCATCTCACAAACTTTAATCATCACAATAAATACCTCCTCAAATGTATGAGATCCAACTGAATTTGTTTTCATACATAACTCTTGAAACTTGTTTACTATCAGTTTTTCATTCGATGATGTTGTATTTTTCATTATGTACGTGTTCTAAACTACACCATTAGTGATCTGAGAAAAATGTTTTACTAAATGCATACTCATTAATACATGAGGATATTATAATAACAATGCAAATATATAACTGTCGGAGATCAAAACAACTCTTAGTAATTACATTACGTAAATGCTTACTCATTATTGGATAATCGAAATTCAGGTTTTAAACGCGGTAAGGAAGAAAAGATATCGCCATGGAATCCCTTAAAAGCAACAAAACAGAAGTAAATTCACTTTTATAAACAAATTTCAATCCAACTTGGTAGGTGTATTTCATCTTGATATTGAATATGATATGACAATACCTGAAACAAATGCTTATCTCTTTGCAAAACAACATGGATATGTAAAGTTATGGTCTATTATGATATTACTACTGCTTTAATAATAGACCTAATCTTAAAATTGTAGATTTGTCATGATATAACTGCCTAATCTATAGGATCTTACCTGGAAGTCATATCATCGTCTACACCAACTCACTGTATCGTAACAACTACCAATACATGATGAAGAACAAGCTTAGGCTAGAGAAAGAACAATATATTTAATATGAATAGAAGATATAAGGTAACATTCAGCAGAGACCACGCCTGCATGGCCGAGACATGCCATTCGATCAACTCCCCATTCATTCAATCCCTTGTTCGCGCCTTCTCCATCGTTAGATATTTCTCCGCGTTAAATATTGAATATCTATTTTCCGAGTTGTCTCCTGTTCAGCTTTGAGGATTGTGTGGTTATGGTCCAATGCCACTACAGTTATATATTAGAGGATCTTTTGTCATAGCAATTGTTATATGGCAATATAAACATCATCTATAATTCACTGATGCTTAATCATTTCTGTAAGTAACGTATTTTGGTATTTTAATTTCGTAGCATATTTTGGAATGCTTTGAACTTGTCAGTTCATTTAAACAAAATCGTCACAACGAATCCCTGGAAGTGTTTGGCACCATGAAGGTATAAGATATTAAGTAGCTAAATTGATGAGATAAGGAATGTTCTATATTTTCATACGACTCCTAAAATGTAGATAATACTAACTAAATAATTTAGTCTATTTTTGCATTAACAACACACTGAATAAAACGTTATCACTTAGTGTAAGTATTCATGCGTTTCATTGGACAAGTATTAATCAGAGACTTACCAACACATGACCTAATTCATGTTTGGCTGTTAAAATTAGATCATAATCCTCCGTTTTGAGAATATCGTCCACTGATGGGCAAAAGTTCACAATACCCACAAATGGCCTATATGTGTATATATCAAAACAGACTACTTATTTTCCATTTACGTAGTAAATGATTCACAAACAAATTTCAAGCTAGAATATTCTTCATATTAACTTTAAAAATCTTTTTTCTATAGAAGATGCTTGATAAATTTGTACTTAATGCTCATTTTTGAAGCTCTTTGACTTACCCAAACTTCAAAATCATTAAAATTAAAGAAACATTCAAAAGCTACTTCAAATCAGCAGAGGATTATTTATCTAAGCACTCAACACTGCGATTAATGCTCATTGCTCACATCATTCGGTTTATATCCACTGAATCGTGTTCCGAGTCTCCAGTTTACTTACAATAGACCATAATATCATTTAATTCGATCGGTGATAAATTTTGTCACTCATATGACTGTAATCAGCAGTCAAGACTTCTGACAAAGACTACAGAAATTCATCTCAGAGCTAGTCATTAATCGAACTTTAATTATGTGTATTTTATCTATTAACTGTATTCATAGAGATTCATCATTGCACACAATGCAAACAAGAGTGAAATTATCTTTCGAGGTATTTATACACAAACGTGATGTTTTTTTGTTATACCTACAACGAAAGCTCATTTTCAGACACTATCGACAAATGTTTCAGTAGTCTTCTACTGAATAAACTTTGTTCAAAACATCATTTGATAAAATTAACAGTTAAGTTGGATAGACGATTACTTACAACATACCATTTTGCATAAATACTTTGAGGAACCTAATGTGTAAACCATTAGAAGTATCAGCCAGAACTCATGAATGAAGACATTTGAATAATGTCTTACAGATTCAATCTCGCTAAGTCGAAATGGAAATAACACGTATGGAATTTGACTGTAATAACAGACAACATTAACGTACTACACACGTTTTCTAGAGTCAATGATTTACAGCAAACAAAACATATACAATAAACACCAGATAAGAGAGATATGTGAAGATCGTCAACATTAAAATATTGAAATTCATGTTATGTGAGGAGGTAAAACTATCAACCTGCCAACGCAAGAGTTTGATAAACAGGATCACTTATTTTAATGTTTCACATAACGATCTCATCTTAGAATCTCAATTATTGCGACCACATATCAATAATATGAGATGAAACGGATTAACTGATTATGACGATGTGGCCGATTTTCGCCATTCTGTGATTGTACAAGTTTCACATAAAGATAGTAGATAAAAACAATTACACATTAAAATAACAAGTGGTCAATGAGAATAACTTGCCTTCCATTGGTTGGATCTCTGTCACAAAATGAAGCCCATGCAACTACATATTCATCACAGACACCAAAATATACATTTTTCACAAATAGTACTAATTCATTTGGAGCTATTCCTTTCCCTTCAGGAAAAGCCAAGACATTTTTATTAGATTTTTGTTGATAGCATGCCTAAAAATAAGTCCACATGTTGTGTAAAGTTATATGGACATATTCAAGCATTTCATATACAGTTAATATTTGTGCAATAATTCATTCATTCATTCTTTATGTTCTGTTTATATCAATAACATTAAAACGGAGCTATCTATTTAAGCAAACTATTTGGAAAGATGAACTCAGTGAGAAGTTAGCTTTCATCACTGACTTAAAACTGGGATAGTTGGTTTTTTCCAAACTTAAAACTCTTCTCAATTTTTTGCTTACTATCACGATCAAATTCTAGTATGGTTTAATTTCACGAAGAGAACAGTTTACAGTTTAAATTAAGTCCTTCATGTTTTCCTATCTCAATCGACGTAACACATAACATGACAGCCGTCAGAGTTTTCTACTTCTTGATTAACTCATTCAACTCCTTATTAACCTTGAATATTCCATCTGTGCCAACTAAATCTGACCCATACTTCCTAGTAAAATCCAGAACTAGATGAATAGATGAATAAGATATAAAACTGATAGTATTTCGTAAAATAAAGATAGTTATTCAAATAATCTCATGCTTATATTTGAGTGAACATCAACTCTGTGACACAGGAACATCTAACTGATAAGTACCAAATTGGATGAAACGCAAGTTCTGTATTCCTCTGCTAACCACTACCCATCTTTACTTATATAATATCTTGTTAACTTAATTTGACATGCTGTCAGTATAATTATTGGCCATTGAAGATTTTATCATGGTAGTCTTTTGTTTGTGAGTTATTTGTGATTTTGACAGATTCAACTCTTTGATTGAGATCATGAACCGTTTGATGTTAGACCACCTTTAGAAACCTGGAAGCACTGGACGGCCATCTCGTCCTATTGTGGGACTCGACAGTGCACACCCACGATCCCGCTTGCGGGATTCCAACTCAGGGCCTTCAGTCTCGCGAGCGAACGCTTAACCTACTGGACCACTGAGCCTGCATCCGATGATGATAGTGTCTAACATCAACCAATCCACGAAATTATGTGACTATTTTCCATTGGACGAAACGGCCGTCCAGTGCTTCCAGGTTTCCAACGGTGTTCCAAAATCAATCGATCCATGATTTCAATCACAAGTTTATTAATCTCCACAACATCTATACTAGATTCAACTTTTGTCTGAGCACTGTACTCCATCAGAAATCTTAGAGACTACCGTTTATATAGAATCTACTACAACTAACAAACAGTGATGTCAACTACAGATCAGATCTAAGAATTACTCTAAATGCTTATTTCATCATCAGATGAATTCAACAACAACAAAAACGTCGTTTAAGTTACACAACACCAATGTGAATACAAACAATTTTTCTACATAGCACAAGTCAAATTATACAAACACTTACAGATAGATAATCATTAGGAATTTTAAATTCATAACATTCTTGACTTTGTTCACATCCACCCACATCACAGTATGTTTGTTTCTCTTTTCCAGGAATTATCAATCTATTTTTTACACATTCTCTGAATAACAAAATCATTGGATTAATCATAATTTTGCAATTGTTAACACATACATGGTTGTTTAATATTAAATACAAGTCAATACAATATTAGATTATATTGTGTATTGATTACCATTAGTGGATATCAGAAGGAAAGAGTTGAAGTTTTGAGTGGTATCTGCTATTACACCGCGTATTTCTGGATCCATTGCTTTGGAGGCAATGATTATGTTCTCTGGTCCAGGATTTTGAACTCCAACCAATCGAGTAAGAGTGTCGGCTTGATCGATAGTATATATCGACTGATACTTGATATTGAACTCATAGCTCAGGAGCATTGTTGCTCAGCGCTGTAATCTATTAGTCGTATAGACAGGAATTCCAAAAGTTGCGATTAAAGTTTTATGATCTCTCAGTAGAGTAAACGTACGACTATGGAGCATTTTATGAAGTATTTTGACAGCAAAAATGATTGCAAGAGTTTCTTTTTCAATTTGGCTGTAGTTTCGCTCGGCTAGGGCGGGTAATCTAGCAGCATGAGTAATTGTCTTCTCTGAGTTGTCCGGAAACACGTGAGTTATCATTGCTCCAACTTCATGACTAGAGGCATTAGATGCAACAACAGTTCCCAAGCTGGGATCGAAGTGCGTCTAAAGAAGTTTTAAGCTGAGCATTGATTTCATTCTGCCGAAAGATGCAGAGTGAATACTCATTGTATATCCTAGATAAACGACTACTACATTGAGAACAGGATTGAGCACACTTTGAACATTATATTCGTAGATAATGTCAAGGGGTCGACATAGTGATCGCCAGTTTCGGAATAGTTTATGCAAAACTTGACATTAAAACAATGTTTATGCAAATCAGAATCAATAGTATGACTAGCTTTACTGTAAAAACACTAGTATTATGTTCATATGTAAATTGTGGCCAAAAACTGATATAGACATCATTTAATAAAACATTATAATTCATAATTTACCTACGAACGAGTAACGATTCTTGTTTATCTACATTGACAACCAGTGCTCTCTCCCAATAACTGGAAGCACTCTCAATTGCATTCTGTTGGTGGGAATAAAAACAAGCATAGAATTCTTGACAGAAAACGAATGATAACAGAAATTTTTGTAAAAATAAATAAATGAAAAGTGACAGTGATTGCAAAAGATTTTGGGTAATATAAATGAATGCAGAATTTGAGAAACTGTCGCTGTCGCTCTTGTGAAGTTACTAACGGTCCAAAGTTCACAAAAACGAGGTTTGGGCATGGAGTCAGTAACCTCATCACGTAGAATCAAATCTTGCTAAAAAGATGCTAACCAGAATAAACCATACAAAATCTGTTCTAGGAGTTCAGTGATATTCATTCAAATGAATCGCGACGCCTTATGATGAAAGCCAATAATCTTCTTAAGTCGCGTGGCTGATGCCGTCCCTAACAACAATTTCTACAGGTTCATATAATGTCCAGACAACTTGAGAAACCAGAAGTACCAGTCAATGGAAACGAGGTGATTCAACTTGACGGTGGAGAAGATAAACAACCACAGAAAAAATTGGGAAAACTGAACAGTCGTTCCATTTTTTCAGTTGTTCTCTAAACTAAATCTATCTTTAATCTCAATGGAATTAATCAATATCAACCATTTCGTGTATCCACAAAATTGTTCGTCATTTTAGTTATGAACATATTAATAATGCCGACATTTGGAAAATGGACTATTAATTCCGACTTCGTCTAAAACTAGGCCGTTTTCCAGTTTGTCATATCATAAATATCGATTTTTCAAAGATGATTTCTTATGTAAACAAATATACTGAAACAAACCTTTATTTTTGGGAATGCTTTACTCCTCTGAAGTTCAACATCATATATTGGTATAATTTTCAGATTTCTGCTTTTCAACAATCTTTTTTCCGTATTCTGTGAGTAAACGCCGTCTCTCTAAAGTACTCTATAACTAAATAGTCATTCAACATACCGGTTTTCTAGATTCAGCAGCTTTGCAACGACGAGCAGATTCAACCGAACTCAACAACACAAGGAGAATAGGAACAACAACGCTGATTTTCATCATGTAACTCCGAAACCTAACTTCCGACTGTTGTTTTATAGTAACCGTTTACAGTCAAGATCTCACGAACACTTCTGTTTAATTAATATATTTACAAGGGGTTCTCATGATTTTGTTGAAATTATTTCTTTTGTGACTCCACTTCAACATGGACAATTCAAATCTCAACATATTATGTACCTGTAAGAGTTACTGATTTTCGGGTCAATTACTGACCCTATCTTAGTATCATCAGGACAATAAATTATACAAATGAAAATCAGTCAGGTCAAGTGGATAAGTAAACAATATTTCATTTTGCAACGTCTTATACTTAAGTCCAGCATTCATCACTCTCAATGTGACATGACATCAATGTACAAATTTCATTTTAATCTTATTTATAAATTAGGCATTACGAGAACCGTAAGATAACTGATGAATTATATTTAGCAAGATGCATTGTGGATTCGGGTTAAAACGATCTACGTAAACTGCAATCGTATTCGCAAATCATCATTTGGAATGTCATGGATACTCAGGTTACATCAGTTACAATATTAGTTAGTTTTTAAGCAATCCTTCAGGTTGTTAAATCTTCATGATAGCCAACCAAACTGTTGGGTTCGTGTCATGCGCAAACGCCTCCAAATGCCTTAATACGGCTTATTGTGGGGAGAATCTGCCCTCTATCTCAAAATCCTCTTACACAACCACGCATATAAATCCACTGCCAGGGAAGTCCTAATGAGTGCATTCTCATGGTAGGGATATTGTTTGCGAACTTCAAAGGATGAAAAGCGGATTTCCGGAGCTTCAACCAGGTTTGTAGGTACAAAGGATCAATCTATGGTGGTTGAAAAGCCCAGATTCTAAACCTACGGTCGTATCAACCTACCGTTGGTCACCGGCTACCATGGGACTGCATTAACTGAAGATTCTCTACTGCCTTGTTGATCACAAATTAAGGTTGACGGCTCTGGATGTGACACCTTCAGAAGACTATTTGATTCGGACAAGACAACAAGACGGTACCAAAGCTCACACAGAAAATAAGTGAATGTGTGGCGCACATACATTCGGTGCCTATATGCATCGATATTTATGCGCTCAAATAAAATAAATTCATAGATTCACATATGCAGAATATTTTATACATTCATGAAGTTGTGTGTTTATGGAAGACTGAGATACAAAAAAACTGAATGAATTTGTAGTAGCATTGGATCCAAATCACACGACTTTTGAAGCCGAGAATACAATTCCTGAAACGGCTTATATTAATTAATCGACATAAAGCGCAGGTTAACAGTGGAGAACGCGGGAACATTATTTCAATTCAACAGATGGCATAGCTCAGCCCGGCATGTGTGGTCGATCCTCCCTTAAATGTGTTCTCCATCATATATTAGCTATTGTTACTATACAATGAGTCACTATAGATAATGACGTGACGTCCACGTAAGATCTCATAGATTAAGCAGTTACATCATGACAAATCTACAATTTCGTCATTGGGTCTATATTAAGAGCAGCACTAATAACGCAGTAGACCATCATACTACAATTTTACATCATTGTACCATTTATGTTGTTTTCACTTCACATTAGTCGTCTTAGTTTGATAAACGTAAACTCTTGACTTCATGTTTCTACAAAGAACTCAACATTACTATTTGTGACTACTTTTGACGTTCACACTTCACACGTGTTTTCCATGTAGTTAGTTCATTCCTTTGTGTAAAACACAGTTCATATATGTTTAACAAAACTAAAGACATTTTCAGTTTGATTCCTTAGGGTGTAATGGTGTTCTAATTCTGGTATTGATTGTCGTTGTTCAGTGCTGACTTGATTTAAAAGTCCATCATATTTGAATCACCTCGGTCCACTTGATTTATTCGTGAACAATGAACTCTCGTTCATGAAGAAGAATACGAATATTTAACCACGTGTTTTTCACATAAGTGAAATTGTACCAACTCAATCCAAGAAGAGATAGTTTTCAGGAATCATCAATTTTGTGTGCTCTTCGTAGACAGCGAGAAATACAATGAGTTATTTTGTATAGCTTAAAACGAACGTATTTGATTGGATATAATGCCTTATATTGAAGACAAGATACTCATGCCTAATAATTTTCCCGTCATTATTCTTATTAGCTTTATTCAATATTATATTTCATCTGCATAAACAAATAGTGCAAATGATGTGCAGTTCGGAGTCAATTACGTATTGGCACCAAAACGAATTGTATTTATGCATGTGTTTTGACGACATCCTAAAGTTAAGCAGTCGATAAATTCGTTTGAAAACTTAAAACATTCAAACATGGACCAAAATCAGTTCACGAGTACAAACATAGTTACACTGCCGCCAAAACATTTCCTATTCCTTGATCGATACTGACGATAGATATTGAAATCTTGTGGTGGTGCTAAGCAGTCATCTTGTAAATCATTTGACCAAGCTTCTTGAATTGTGGTTACACCAATTGTTTATTGGAATTTATATTGGTAGTTTTGCAAACGCATTGTATTTACTAAACTACTTGATGCTTCATATCTCTTTACAGGATACAACAAAATGTAAGTAATTGGATGTGTTTGAACACATCTCGACCACTTATCTCGACCACTTTCCCTGATACAACTTTGCATACTATATTTAGAACTATTCCCTTGTTCAAAAATTAACCTCTCCATTATCATACGAGTTTATTCGTTTATCAATCATGACATATTTGAATAATGGCAAGCTATGTGTGCGAACATCTACAAACTCGAATACCATCAGACACATTCTTCTGATTCCGATATATCACGCTTGTCTAGGTTTAAAAAGATATTCGTTATCTAAATGATAGATCAATGTTCGCGTTAGTTTGTGCAGTTCATTCATTCTGTTCTGGCTTGAACAAGACGTTATGCAAATCATAATTATGTTCATTTAATTATGTGTCCTAGGGGCATAACATTTTGTTATCTA